TTTGAGTTGAGCTTCATGAAGACCTCAATAGAAGCCTGTTGGTTTCATCACGATTAAGTTATAGACGATTGAACATTAACATCTAACTGTCAATTGAGGAATTTTATAACCAATTCACCTCACACTTGCCTCTTCCTAATTATCATCTCGTGCCGTACACGAAGAAAACATCGTCACTTTCTTTCCTTAATCGATTCTCATCTACAAATAATTCTTTTCTCCATGTGAATTTCTTGTTTGCCTGTCGTGCTTTAAATTGACCATCCATTTTCTCTCCAAACCCAAAACGTTCCATACCTTCTTCACTTTCTTCTAACATATTGCTCAAGTTTTATTTCGTATCATTAGTCTGACCTAGCTCTCGAACATTATCAAATTCCACTTTGTGAATCTTGTTAAGAAATCACCATGACTCATGTGCGAATAATGTTTAATATAAATCATACATCTTTCAAACTTCTTCATACCAAATGTATCTCCACATAGGTATTCTCTTTGAGTAATACACCATTCCTTTTACATTCTTGCAGGAATTAACAAACGATTTGTTTTACATACTCAGGAAAAAACAATTGATGAGAGGGCAGAGGCTGATTAGCAAAGACTTACAAAAAATACATGAATGACCTTCAACTCATAAGTCATCATATAGATCTAAAAAAACAGGAAAGATAGGTTATGATGTTTTGTTGAAACAAGAGCAAAATGCTCTCGAGGAAATCATTACCTAACCCAAGACCGACCCTCATATGGTTTTCATGATTCTGTTTCCTCAGCAACATGGTCTCCTCACAAGTATTAAAAACAAAGAAAAGCCCTACTGACGAGTGATTCTTCAACCGGTCAAAGTTTGATGGTATACATTCTAAATCTGTAATTCAAACCTTTGTTCTTAGATGTATATAGTGAAGTAAATGACATTCAAGAACATCAAAATTTGAAACTTACCAGATGTTTTGTTGAAACAAGGGAAAAATGCTCTCGAGGAAGTCATTACCTCTAAGCTAAGACCGACCCTCATACGGTTGATTATAATTCTGTTTCCTCAGCAACATGCTATCCTCACAAGTATTAATAACAAAAAAAAGCCCTGCTGACGAGTGATTCTTCAACTGATCAAAGTTTGATGTTGTCAATTCTATATCTATAATTCAAACCGTTGTTAGTAGTAAGTTTGACGACCCCATTTCTCGTTGTTGGTAACTGGTTATTAACACAGTGGAATGGGGAAAGTTGGATATGTACATGTGGTCCTGTAACTAACAATTCGGGGCTTTTTTCACTTTAACTAATCTTTGATTACAGGATGATGTCATCCTGTTGACCATTTCAAATCCAACTTTTCCCATTCTCATCACCATCGTCAAAGTTTATTCATCATCGCTTTTATAGTTATATCTTCAAGTTCCATTTGAAACAAGTTTTTTCGACCCACCCTCCCAGTTCCCGAGTTCAGGTAGTTATTTTGTAGTTAGGTTGTGTAAAGGGTTACTTATTTTCTCTTTAAAAAAAGAAGTATCATCAGTTTACGATCTATGTTTAGTATGGTTATATTTCTTTTTATTCATCAAGTTTAGTTATTTATGGTATTATGTGTTGTGTTTATTTAAGATCAGGAGCGTATTGTGTTTTAGTATTTGTATGCCGCTAGCCACCCCGTAGGGCGTGTATGTTGTTATTCTTCAAGTAATATTATCCCCCTTGGCTCAGGCCTTGGGATTCACACCAAAAGTCTGTTTCATCTTGGTATGTTCATACCAGATAAGTAGTAAGTTTGACCACCCCATTTCATGATATTCAAGAACATCAAAATTTGAAACTTACCAGATGTTTTGTTGAAACAAGAGAAAACTGCTCTCGAGGAAATCATTACAGCTGTTTGCAGAAAAAATGCCATCATCCAGTTTTTTATTTTTTTTATTTTTTTAAGTTGCACTAAAAATTATCAACACAGATTCTACACAAGAGCAGCTGTACGTCATGATGTGCTAATTGTTAAAGATTGTACAGAGTCTCCTCACCAAAGGTTGAGAAAGCTTGTGCATTTCAGATACAAAGGCAGCATTACTTGTGATCTTTCACAAACTTCACACCCTCGAAAAAATTGAGTACAGCCTAGTACAGCTCTTATTGTAGAATCTACGTTGGTGATTTTTAGTGCAACTTAAAAAAAATAAAAAAAATAAAAGAGGGCGACGGCATTTTTTATGCAAACAGCTGTACCTAAGATCGACCCTCATATGGTTGATTATACTTCTGTTTCCTCAGCAACATAGTCTCCTCACAAACCTATTAATAACAAAGAAAAGTCCTGCTGACCAGTAATCCTTCAACTGATCAAAGTAGGATGATGTACATTCTATATCTATAATCCAAACTGTTGTTCTTAGATGTATATAGTGAAGTAAATGATATTCAAGAACATCAAAATTTGAAACTTACCAGATGTTTTGTTGAAACAAGAGCAAATTGCTCTCGAGGAAGTCATTACCTAAGACCGACCCTCATATGGTTTATAGTAATTCCGTTTCCTCAGCAACATAGTCTCCTCACAAACTATTAATAACAAAAAAAAGCCCTGCTGACCAGTGATTCTTCAAATGATCAAAGTAGGATGATGTACATTCTAAATCTGTAATCCAAACCGTTTTTCTTAGATGTGTATAGTGAAGTAAATGATATTCAAGAACATCAAAATTTGAAACTTACCAGATGTTTTGTTGAAACAAGGGAAAAATGCTCTCGAGGAAATCATTACCTAAGACCGACCCTCATATGGTTTATAGTAATTCTGTTTCCTCAGCAACATGCTATCCTCACAAACCTATTAATAACAAAGAAAAGCCCTACTGACCAGTGATTCTCCAAATGATCAAATCTTGATGGTATACATTCTAAATCTGTAATCCAAACCTTTGTTCTTAGATGTATATAGTGAAGTAAATGATATTCAAGAACATCAAAATTTGAAACTTACCAGATGTTTTCTTGAAACAAGGGAAAATGCTCTGAGTCTCAAGGAAGTCATTGAGGGCCCGTTCGGACACCGCGAGCAGATACTATCTGGCGAAATTTCACACCAAAAGTGTTACATAGCGCCAGATAGTATCTGGGTCCAAACTCCACCAGATATTCGAAATCTGATTGGCGTTCGGTTCAAATATCTGAGGTCAGTATCTGATCATCAAGATCGAGATATTAGGGACTGGGCGAAGCGCTGCAAAAATCCAATTCAACCGTAGTTGAAATACTATCGCAAGCAATCCAGCCCCTGTTGAATCAATATCAAAATTCCCTATTTTTATTAGTCAACTTCATGAGACTAAAAAAAATAGGGTGGCGCATAGCCGGTTGCCATCATCTGATGGGCTCTCCAATCCAAAACTTCCTACTCCTCAGCCAAAAGCCTTAGGCTGACCGCATCAGGATTGCCTGATATACCTTTCACAGATAAGGCTGTGGCCCTGAGCTCTCCGGTGGTGGTGCCCACGGGGGAGCCCGAAAAGGAAGTTTGTACCTTTGGGTTGGGGTCCTCATGAAGAACCCCTTGCGAGATAGACGTTGGAACATCCTATAGAAGTTGAGCAAGCAATCGGGTCTGTGGGAATATGGCCTTGGGAATGAACCCGGACTCAGCTTTGTCATCCCAATGAGATTTTGAACGGGGCACTTGGACATGCGAAAGGTCAGTGATATGTTCCTCCTGTTTAAATCTCTTCGGACAACTTCCTTGCTATACTTGCGCTAATTCAGGTGGCAAAATCCTGTGCTCGTCCGAACTTCGCCCAGTCCCTATTGATCCATATTGAGATACAGCCAATTGGCTGTATCTCGAGCCAATATGTCGATGTGCCCCTCCCTCAACCCCCATCTAACCATCACTTCTTTCTCCTTTTCTCATTACCCACGCACTCTTTTTCCGTTTTGATCCTCACACCTTTGCTTAGCCATCCTGATTCCTCGCAGCGAAGCAGTTCTTCAATCAACTTGTTTTCTGCTGTCTTCATGTCTTTCTTTTTGTTTTTTGTTTCTTGTTTGCTTCTGTTCTTTGTTTTTGTTTTGTTTCTTTTCTTTTCTTTTTGTTCTTTCCTTTCTTCTGTTCCTTTTCCTTTTCGTTTTTGTTTTTTGTTTCTATTCGCTTTGTCTCTTTTCTTTCTTTTTGTTTTTTGTTCGTTTCTTTATGTTAAATCTTCAAATCTGTTATCACTTTTGAAATCGATTGTTCAATTTGAACCATTTTGGTGCAATGTCAACACAAGAAGGAAAGTTTAGGATGCAAATGATGAAGGTCTGGATGACCGTTTCAAAAGATTGAGGCAAATGAAAATGCATGCAAGTTGATATGGCCGTT